ATTTCGAACACAAGCCGATTTCGAACACGAGCAAGTTCGAACGAGCCGACACAAGCCAAGCCTGAGCTCGCTCAAGCTCGGCTCATTTACAGCCCTAGTAGCCATGTGTTACGACATTTCTTGAGTCGTATGACGTCATAGTCAGCTCTCTCATGAGAATATATTGTCATATCCAGCTTGTTATCCATTTGATTTCGATATCCTCGGGCCATATGCCCTTTTCGACTGACTCTTTTACAAGTGTATCTTCCTTTCAGACATTCCTGATTACATAGCCATTTAGGTTGAATGTCTCCATAACCATATGACTTTATAATTGATTCGGTAGCGAGAGTATCTCAACTGACTAGCAAGCTGCCACCTTAATCAAGATATTTTGTGTCATGTAGCCAACTGATTATGATGATGAGTGCAACTTCTCCATGGGAGCCAGTCCGACTCATAATCGAGTTCCTATCGAGAGAGAATAATAGAAGTATGGGTTACACAAGATAACTAGATCTCCTCCCACTTTTGCTATTACAACTGAGGTCGTCCAAATTTGAGTTCCCACATCTACCATTTCAAATATGGCCAGATTGAAGGTAGTTATTTCATGCGACTAAAGGCGACTTTTTAGTTAAAATTCTACATGCAAGAATGAAAGACATATGTCACACGAGATGATCGAGCATTTTCAATTGTCCACAATGTTGAGTCACTGGACAATTGCCACTTCGCTCAAAATGCTTTGGTCTTCATAGCCACCTAGACGGTTGTGATGGGTGTCGCACTCTGCGAGAGCTTTCTAGTTAATTCTTCATGCGAGAGCACAACAGGAGACATGCGTCACATGAGATGATCATGCCTTCTCACTTGGTCAAACTGTTGAGTCACTGGCCAATTGCCACTTTTAGGATACCTTCAGATATATAACTGCCTGATTGAAGTGATGGTGCTTCTGTTCAAATGGATCGGTAAGACTTGCAATCAAGCTCCCTTTCAGGAGAGGCGGAGCAGGAGACTTGGAGTCACACGACATCATCGAGCCTCCTCTACTATTACGACTGAGATCAGGTAGAGGAATTCATCATTTCGTCATTTTGAAAGATAGGTCAGACAGATCAATTTGTCGTTATGAATGAGGTCAGGCAAGACTTCCCTTAGCCATGCCCAAGCAATCTGGGTTGGTTGGGCTTCTTCGTGGTCAGCAAGCTCCAGCTGCTAGCCACACCCTCATCCATGCCCAAGCAATCCAAACTGGTTGAGTTTCTTCGTGGTTAGTTGGTTTCAACTGCAAACGACACCATTGGTCATACCATGTCTAGTATATCTGGCCTGGCTAAGTATCCTGTGGCAGGTTGGCTTCGACCAATTGGTCGCCCCTCAACTGAGTCCAAGCAATCTAGACTGGTTGGGCTTCTTTGTGGTTAACTAGCTTCGGTTGGCTAGCCACACCCTCAACTATGCCCGGGCAATATGGACTATTTAGGTTTCTTTGTAGTTAGCCAGTGTCGGCAGGCTAGCCACCCCCCTCGGTCAAACCATGCCCAGTACAACTGGCCTAGTCGAGTCTTCTTTTGTCTTCTCTTGGAATGTCACTTCGGCTACCAGAGAAGATTTTCCTCTTGGATGCTTCCAACAAGTGCATCATGCCTAGGTGCCCAAACTGCCTTCTAGAACTTTTGAAACCAAGCCTCTGGAAGTCTGGAGTCAATCTTCGGCGCCTATGCACCCAAAACAGCTCGAAAACTGCTTTTTCCATAAGACGGAAAAGTAGACACCACACCTGTGTCACATAGGCGCCAGGCTAAGCGCCAGAGACCTGATACCAGTGCGTCAGACTAGGCACTTAAGTGTCAGGGTCGACGCGCCTAAGCGTCGGTTCATTTTCAGATCGTGAAAAAGCCTGTTTCTAGTGTTGATTTGATGCTGATGCACCCGCCAACAAACCGAAATGGCAGAGATCTCCTTGGGTTTGAGGAGATATGCATGGGGTGTTAAATCCCTGGGATTGGCCTCATTTAGCATTCCCTAAATACCCTCATTAGCCCATTTTTGGCCAAATCAAGGGGGTGTTTATGGGATTTGCCTGGGGTGAGCTTGTTTAAGCTCCTCTTCCACTCATTTCCTTCTCTTCCCTTCCTTCTTTTTTTTCTTTTTTGATTAGCTAGGGCACGCACGAGATTTACCTCTGTCCATATCTCTGCTCTCACTCTCGCGCGCTCATTCTCTAGTTCGAATGAAAGCTACGAACGAAATGCCTCACAGAAGACCCACTCTCGACTTTCTTAAAATGAACAGCTCGAGGGTTGTTCCAATTAAATATATTTATTTATTTACTCAGTATAAGCCTCCTATTAAGAAATATAGGTAGGTAACCCCCTTACTATTCTATGATAAGGAACTACATAAATTTATAGTGGTTCCAATGTCATTATAAAGAAAACAGGCTATAATCAAAATAGTAAAAAAAGATTTTTGAATATATATTATCACCAACAATAGTATGCATCTCATAGTTATGTAAGAACATAAAAAATATATATTATGTATGTCATGTACCAAAGTTAAATTAAAAGTATAATGTCCTTGAAACAAAATTAAAATGATAGTCAAATACATAAAAGGTAATTATAAAGGAATAAAGTTATAAGTGGAGTCTTAAATTAACTCTTAGACAAGACATGTCTTTATGATAAATTAACTTGAGGATATCTAGTTTATAAGATCACAAAACATCAAAAAAGAAACATTCTTAAGTTGATGCAATGAGAATTCACCCATTTGATCAATGTAATTAATTATTCATCGGTTGTTTAGATTAAGTACAAAAACAATTATAAGACCTTTTGCCTCATTGCTTTCAGAAAAAAGTGAAAGCTAAAAGGTGACATAACGTCGGCCCTCAACCTTATTCAAAAAATTTCATAGGACCTTTAATAGAATTTATCATTGAATTTACAAATCCAGCCAAAAATGTAGGAGTTCGACAAATTTTCAGATCTAGTAAATCAAATTTTATCTTTGATTTAGCGTAAATATGGATTTATTAAATCCAAGGGATGGATAGATTTATAGATTCACGGATTTAGGGAATTGCTAGATCTTACTTGAGGCCAAACAATCACTAAGAATGGCAAGTTCTTATCTATAAATAAACACAATGAACTCTTGGGTGTTTAGCTGCTAGTAGGGTTTAGTGTTAGCAGAATTTAGTAAATCCGTAAATCATTGATCCATTAAATCCTTCCTACCTCTCAATTTAGTAAATACGGATTTAAGCCGAATTGAAGGAAAATTTGGGAGGCTAAATCCAAAAATTCATAAATCCATGAAACTTAGTTTTAGTAAATCTGGTGATAAATCCTACTATAAACTACCAAACACCTTAGGCAGTCAAATTGGCAATCCTCTGGTACTTGAGATTATCCTGATTGTACCACTTTTTCAAAAGAATAATTTTGAATCCACAAGTGGAATATTAGCATTAGAAGAGGTAAGTTCATGCAATAATATCAAGTTACCTAAGCTAACCGATACTATATACATATAAACTAGTACGAACACCAATAAAAGAAATCAAACTTCTTAGAATAGAATCTGTCACAATGTCCTGCTAAATTTCACTTCAGATAAGGTTTGGTCTAAAAAACTGACAGTTGAAACAAGTTGTAAACGCTTGTTCGAAAAACAATGAAAAATGACAAACAGAAGAAAAATTCAAATGTGAAACAAATAGTAAACACGGATTTACAGGATTTACTAAATCCTACCTGAGTTCCCTCCTTGAACCAAACAGCTCCCTAGGTTTCAGCCAAAAAAATATACAGAGAGAGAGAAATAAGAAGGACGGCTAACTTCGCCGGGAATGGCAGAAATACACTTGTCTGGATGATAAATTTTTAAAGCTTCACTTGCGACGAGAATCCAGGCTCCAGTTCCGCCTTCCCCCTTGCCCCTTCCCCCTTCCCCCTTCCCCCTTCCCA